AACATGTATTGTGTATTTTGCAGGAAAAGAACTCAATGTGCTTTTGTAGGAATAGAACTCACCTTATCCTGGGAGAATTGGCGTAAGATCACTCCTCTGACGGTCATTCAAATTGGAGGATGAGAATTTACATTGATTATTGGAGGACTAGAACTCACCTTCTCCTACGGACTGTCTCCTGTTAATTTGACCAAAGTCACACAGCTGGTTTCCGTCTTAAATGTTCATCTCAAACTCATCAAATTGCTGTAATTGGGGAAAGGTCCAAAAGCATACTTCCATCCCAAGGGTCGAACTAGAACTCACCATCTCCTAGAGATTGAAATAGGTTAAACTAAGACAAGTATTGTGTATTTTGCAGGAAAAGAACTCAATGTGTTTTTTTAGGAATAGAACTCACCTTATTCTGAGAGAATTGGCATAATATCACTCCTCTTCATGTTGTTCAAATCGGAGGATGAGAACTTACCTTGACTATTGGAGGACAAGAACACACCTCCTACTGACTGTCTCCTGTTAATTCAACCAAACTCACCAGCTGGCTTCCATCTTAAATGTTCATCTCAAACTCACCAAATTGTGGTAACTGGCGCAAGGTCAAAAACCTGACTTCCATCCCAATGGTCCAACTATAATTCACGTTCTCCTGGAGATTGAAATTGTTTAAACTCAGACAAGTATTGTGTATTTTGCAGGAAAAGAACTCAATGTGCTTTTGTAGGAATAGAACTCATCTTATCCTGGGAGAATTGGCATAATATCATTCCTCTTCATGTTGTTGAAATCGGAGGACGAGAACTTACCTCCTACTGACTGTCTCCTGTTTAATTCAACCAAAACTCACCAGCTGGCTTCCGTCTTAAATGTTCATCTCAAACTCACCAAATTGCAGTAATTGGCACAAGGTCAAAAAGCTTACTTCAATCCCAGTGGTCCAACTAGAATTAACGTTCTCATGGAGATTGAAATAGGTTAAACTCAGACAAGGATTGTGTATTTTGCAGGAAAATAACTCAATGTCCTTTTATAAAACTAGAACTCACCTTATTCTCTGAGAATTGGCATAAGATCACTCCTCTGACTGTCATTCAAATTGGAAGACGAGAAATTACCTTAACAATTGGAGGACTAGAAGTCACCTTCGCCTTCTGACTGTTTCCTGTTAATTCAACCAAAGTCAAACAGCTGGCTTCCGTCTTAAATATTCATGTCAAACTCAACAAATTGCGGTAATTGGCGCAAGGTCAAAAAACTGACTTCCATCCCAATGGTCGAACTAGAGCTCTCGTTTTCCTGGAGATTAAAATAGGTTAAAATCAGACAAGTATTGTGTATTTTGCAGGAAAAGAACTCAATGTGCTTTTGTAGAACTAGAATTCACCTTATCCTGGGAGAATTGTTTTAAGATTACTCCTCTTTCTTTTTCACATTGGAGGACTAGAATTTAGTATGCCTAATGCAGGACTTACCTTATCCTGCTGATTGGTCCAAAGTCACTCACATGTCTTTCCTACATATTACAAGATGAGAATTTAGCATTCCTATTTCAGGACTAGAGAACAAATTCTACTGGTTATAGGCCAAGGTCACATAACTGTTTTTTCATTCCTATGGTTCAACTACAACTCACCTTTCTCTGGGTTTGTTCCAATATTACTCGGCTGGGGGTTGTGCATATTGGAGGACTAACCTTGCCTATGGCTGGATAAATAGTGACTGTCTAAGTGGTACAATCCTGTCAATTTGATCAAAGCCACGCAGCTGGTTTCCATCCTTAATGTTGAACTCAAACTCACAGACTCATGGGTATTGGTGCAAGGTCAAAAGCTGACTAGATGTTACCTTGTCTATTGCTGGATAAGTACTCACTCATTTCTGGGGTTTGGAACAAATTCATGCAGTTAGCTTCTGTCTGAAATGTTCAATTCAAACTCTCTGTCTCCTGGTGTCCAAAGTCCAGAATCGGACTTCCATCACATATGTTTGACTAGAGCTCTCCATCTCCTGGTGATTGTGATAAAGTTATTCAGACAAATGTCATGCATATTATAGGACTGGAACTTACTGTGCCTTATGTAGGAATAGAACTTACCTTCTGGTGATTGGCCCAAGGTCACTCCGCAGCTGTTGTTCATATTAGAGTACTCGAATTTACCTTGCCTGTGATCTCTTGAACTCTTGAACTGGAGGATTTGAACTCGCTGTCTTTTTATGATTTTCCCAAAGTCACACAGCTGCCTCTCCTGCTTATTGCAAGACTAGATCTCTCCATCTCATTGTTTCTAGTCTGCTTCCTTGACTTCTAAACATATTTGGCTCTCATTTGGGGATATTGTTTGTGCCAACCTCTTCCAACTGGCTGAGCAGCTCAGTACAATGTCCTATGTTCTGGCAACCTCCCTAAACAGAAATGTCTTCCTACTTTACAAGTTGGTCCTTATGCAAATGATAAGCGGGGGGTAATTTCTTCTATGATGTCACAATGGAGGGAGGTAAGAGGATGAGGCTGTGGACTGGGGTGGGTTCTACTTACTTTTACTACCGGTTCACAATGGGGCCGCAAACACTCTTCTGCGTATGCGCAGAAGCTTCTGCCCATGTGCAGAAGGGTTCTGATGACATCGGGGTCAGTGGGCGGAACGTCCCACCAGTTTTATTACCAGTTCTATAGAACCAGTCCAAACCAGGGACAACCCACCACTGCTGTGGACCCTTTTACTGGCAGCAAAGACCAAGCCCTCACCAACCACACTGGTTCCCTGCAGGAGTATTGGAGGACTATTACTCACAATTTCTTGTTGATTGGCTCAAAGTCGTGCAAATGGTTTTTGTGCCTATTGCAGGACTTTAACTCACCATCTCCTGGTAATTGACCCAAAATCACCCAGCCATCTGTTGTGCATATTGCAGGAATAGAAGTGATGGAGCCTATTGCAGGATAAGAACATACTGTCTTGAACCTAAAGAGGAAGACCGATGGAAACATGTCACTTTTTGAAGAAAACAACAATCAAGAGCAAAGCCCTTACTATCTACCCTCACCCACTCCAATAAAGCCTCTCTGGAACTGAACAATCATTTTCCTAGCCTTTCCTTGGAAGAAAGTATGCAGACACCTATAAAAGAGCAGTCATCAATAGTTTCTAAAAAAGAGGCACAACCCAGCATTCCTGAGCCAGGAACTTCCCTAGGGAAAAATGGTGAGTATTAAGAGATAGGAAATTCAATTCTTAGGGGTACAGAAACTATAATCTGCAGACTGAACAATAAATCTAGGCAGGTATGATCCAAGATCCAAAAAGATCTTGGCAGACTTGAACAATGGTCCCTATAGAACAAAATGAAATTTAATGTAGATAAAAGTAATGTTTTACACTTGGGCAAGATAAACCAACTGTATAGGTATAGACTAGGTGAAACGTATCTTAATTGCCAGTAATTGTGAGGGGGGTTTTGGAGTCTTAGTGGACCATCACTTAAATATGAGCCAACAGTGTGTGGCAGCAGCCAAAAAAGTCAATGCAATCCTAGGCTGCGTTGATAGATGAATAAAATCAAGAGCACTTGAACTTCTAGCACCACTTTATAATGCCTTGGCAAGGCCACAAATGGAATACTGCATCCAGTTTTGGTCACAATATAAAAAAAGATGTAGAGACTCTGGAAAGAGAACAGCAACAAAAATGCTTAAGGGGCTGGAGGCTAAAACATATGAAGAATGGTTACAGGAATTGGGTATGTCTTTAATGAAAAGAAAGACTAGAGGAGACATGATAACAATGTTCCAATATTTGAGGGGCTCCTACAGAGACAAGGGGGTTCAAACTATTTTCTAAAGCACCAAAAGGAAAGACAAGAAACAATTGTTGACACTAACCAAGGGGAGAAGAAACCAAGAACAAAGAGAAATTTCCTAACAGTTCCTAACAGTTAGAGCAATCAACCAATAGCGTTCCTTCAGAAGTTGTGGATGTTCCATCACTGGACGCTTTCAAAAAGAGACTGGACAACAATTTTTCTGAAATGGTATAGGATCTTCTGCTCGAGCAGGGAGTTGGACTAAAAGATCTCCAAGGTCTCTTCCAACTCTATTATTCTATGTTCTATGGCTCCTGGTGATTGGCCCAAAGTCACACAGCCAGCTGTCGTGTGCATTGCATGACTATTATTATTGTGCCTATTCCAGGATCAGAACATTTTCTGGTTATTGGCCTAAAGTCACCCAGCTGGCTTTCATGCCTCAGGTGGGAGTGGAGCTCACCATCTCCTGTTGATTGGCCCAAAGTCACCCAGCCAGCTGTCATGCACATTGCAGGACTAGACTAGAAATCACAACTTCCTAGTTACTGACCCAAGTCACAAAACTGGTTTTCATGTATAAGGTTCAATTAGAACTCCCTCTCTACTGGTGATTGGCTCAAGTCACTCAAACATTTTTTTTTAAAATTTGATTTATATGCCGCCCTTCTCCAGAGACTCAGGGCGGCTTACAATGCGTTAAGCAATAGCCTTCATACTTTTGTATATTTATACAAAATCAGCTTATTGCGCCCACAAACTGGGTCCTCATGTGTATTATAGGACTAGAACTCACTGAGCCTATTGTGGGCCTATTGTGCCTATTCCAGGATCAGAACATGTTGTGGTTATTAACCGAAAGTCACCCAGCTGGCTTTCATGCCTCAGGTGGGAGTAGAACTCACCATCTCCTGTTGATTGGCCCAAAGTCACCCAGTCAGCTCTCCTGCCTATTACAGAGCTAGAGCTCCCTAGCCTGCTGCCTTGGCATCTAAATGAAATTTAGAAGCCAAGGGATATTGTGTGTGCCAACCTCTCCCAAGTGTCCTGAGAGGCTAAGCACAAGGTGCCACCTGCTGGCAACCTGCCTGAAAAGGCAATATCACCTCACTCCAGTGGCTGGTATTTATGCAAATGACTTGTGTTGGCTCATCTTTTCTATGATGTCACAATAGAGGGAGGGGAGGAGGCATAGGGGCTTGTAACTGTCAGGGAAGACCAAGCCTTCACCACCTAGGCCAGCTCCATGCTGCCTGAAGCTGCCTGCATGGCTGCCCAAAGACTTCGTGGTCCCATCTACCTCTTCCTGCTCACCTCCTTCTTGGTGGGGGGGTCTAAATCCCCCTGCGAGCGGCAGCAGCGACTCCGGAAGCCTGTCTTGGAGTCCCTGCGGTTGGAGGCCTACTGGGTGCCACTGATGATCATCCTCGGTGGCTGCTGTGCCATGGCTTGGAGCATCCTCTTCATTGCCTATGACGTGGCCAGGCCGGGGGGATATGGGCTACCCCAGATCCCTGGCACCCCGGAAGGGGAACAGAAGGAGGGAGGCCCCAAGCAGGTGAGCTCTGGAGGGAGGGGCTGGAAAGCAATCTGGGGGAGGGGGCAAAGAAAGGGGGCTTACCATCCAGTGTCTCCCTGAAGCCAAAAGGAAGACGAACTGACCACCACCTGAAATAGTTTCACATGACACACTGAACCCAATAGCCAGCTAAAGAATGGCTGCATTCACAGCATATGTCACACTAAACCTTACTGATTTATTTGAACATTTTAGATGGCTACTTGCATTTCATAAAAGGAGTTTATGTGGTTATCAAACAAATGCAAGAATAATAATAGATTTATTTATTTACTTTAGATTTAGTTATGTCAAAAGTGCCATAAGATCACCAACTTAAGAAATGCACATATGCACGAACCCACATGTACACTCCTGCAAACAAAAGTGAATCATGTAGAAAAACGGTTTTTTTTTTTCCAAAGAATAACAAAAAACAGAGTTGGAAGGGACTTTGGAGGTCTTCTAATCCAACCCCCTGCTCAGGCAGGAAGCCCTTTACCATTTCAGACAAATTGGTTGTCCAATCTCTTCTTAAAAACTTTGGAGGTCTTCTAATCCAACCCCCTGTTGAACAGGAGACCCTATACCATGCCAGACAAATGGGTGTCTTATCTCTTTTTAAAAAACCTCCAGTGATGGAGGCCACCATTCTTGATAGGGCAGTTCATGCATGTTCAGTCAAAGAGAAGAAACTGCTGATATGTTGGGGAAATCCTCAACCAGCAGATTACTACATTCTGTAAATTTAGAGAATGCATTGGATTCCTTCTGTTGGACTGATACAGAATACAGAATAACAGAGTTGGAAGGGACCTTGGAGGCCTTCTATCCAACCCCCTGCTCAGGCAGGAAGCCCTTTACCATTTCAGACAAATGGTTGTCCAATCTCTTCTTAAAAACTTCCAGTGTTGAAGCTTCAGAACCTCTGGAGGCAAATTGTTCCACTGATTAATTGTTCCAACTGTCAGGAAACTTATCCTTAGTTCTAGATTGGCTTTCTCCTTGATTAGTTTCCATCCATTGCTGCTTCTCCTGTCTTCAGGTGCTTTGGAGAATAGGTTGACCCCCTCTTCTTTGGGGCAGCCCCTCAAATATTGAAACACTGCTATCACGTCACCCTGGTCCTTATTTCTACTTGACTAGACATACCCAATTCCTACAGCCGCTCTTCATATGTTTATATTAAGGGAACAATTTATTTGATTAGGGAATAACTAAGGAATTTTAACTGCTTTAAATTAATGCTACCTTCCTTCCCAAAAACCATTCAGCCCAGCATCTAAAAAGTCTTCAATGCATTAATGCAGAGTTTCTCGATCTCAGCATCTTTAAGATGACTGGACTTTAATTCCCGTAATTGCCCAGCTAGCATGATTGCTGGGGAATTCTGGGAATTAAAGTTCACCCATCTTAAAGCATGTTGGGTGGGAAAATTTGAGAATTGAAGTTTATCCATCTTAAGGTATGCTGGCTGGGGAATTCTGGGAAGGCCACCAAAAGTCTGGTCTTCAAAATCCCTAAGTGTGGTATCCTTTCTTTCACTCATAGGTGCCCGCAAAGGAGACAAAGGAGGACAGTAATCTGCTAGAAAGTAAAAAATCAAAAGAATTGCTTGGGACTTCACTAGAGACAAAGGGATCTAGAGAAGAAATTGAATTGGATCGAACAGGATCTCGAGAAGCTGTTGGGAATCCCCAGCAAAGTGAAGAAAGCAAAGGAGCCAAGGAGGGAATTGAAAATCCACTGGAATTCAAAGTATCCCAAGAGGGGATTGAGAACCAGCTGGAAAGTAGGGGATCCCAAGAGGGGATCTGCTCACCTTTCTTGCAGGGGAAAAATGATCCCGCCTCCTTTAGATCTAACCAGGTGGAAGACCAGCCATGTGGAAAGCTCTGGAGTACTATGGAGAAGGAGCTGGAAAGGCTGCTGCAGTTGCTGCGATTCTGCCGGTCCTCTGGGCCTGATCTCCTGGCCGAAGGGTCCCTGGGCCCTGTAATTGAGGAGGCCATGCCCCCTCCAGCCACTGAGACCCCCAACCCTGCAGAGGCAGATTCAGGCACACGAGCCACCATCCAGGTACAAGAGCCACTCATCCAGGCACAAGAGCCACCCATCCAGGCACAAGAGCCACCAACCATTCCAGCCGAGGAGACCCTGAGGCCACCTAGCTCTGGGCAGAGTCCAGCTACGATGCATTTCATCATCTGTGGGCTTCCCAGCTGCACCTGTACAAATACGGGCCAAAGAAGGCAGGGTGGGAGCAGAGGGCGCAAATAAAGTCTATGCATGCTCAGAAGTTACTGTGTCCTGCTTTCCACAAAGATTGGCTGGGGATCGTAGGAGTGGTCATACCATGCCAAGCATGCCAAGGGAATGGCAGCCGTCAGCTGGCCTCTAAGAAAAATTGGGTTGAATTGGCTGTGGAAGGAACAGGGGACCGCAAAAAGATCTCTGGTCTGCCTTGAAGAAGCAAAGGTGAACCATTAAATTATGAACATGGGTCCAAAGGACCCCAGGTGGAAGATCTGGGACCTCGGCAATCTAAAAATAATGGCTTGGCTGATAGCCCATCTGCAAAGGCCTTTAAAATATTCCATATTTACAATATAAACCTATAAAGGACAGCGACCATATTTTCTTGGAAAAAATAAAAGGGCAAATCTCAAAATGGGACAAAGCTAAAAGGGGATTTAAAAAAAAATATGTTTATTCAAGAGCAAAACCAAGAAAATCAACAATTAAATTAACAATTAAGGCTTTATGGTCATTGAACTTACAAGTAATAATCTTCCCCCTCATTTTCACCCAGAAACAAACTGGCAACAACTTGTGCTCACCAACACACAGGCAGGTGCATTTCTCACATATTGGAGCAATCTTCAAGGGCCACACCAGGGAAAGCGAATTCCAGTCATCCAGGTTCCCAAAGCAGTTTGGCACAAGGTTTGTCAGTGGGGTTTCCTAAAAGAAAAATAAATACCAAGATTTTGCACTGAAATACAGACAGTCCTTGACTGAGAACCATCTCTGATCCCAAAATTTCTGTTGTTGAGTGAGATAGCTGTTAAGTGAGTCTGCCCCCCCCAATTTTATGACCTTTCTGGCCACAGCTGTTAAGTAAATCACAACAATTGTTCAGTTAATAATACAACTGTTAAGTGAATCTGGCTTCCCCATTGACTTTGCATGTCAGAAGGTCACAAAAGGGAATTACATGATCCTACACTGCAACTATTGTAAATATGAACCAGTGGAAGAGCCGCTATAGTGCAGTGGTTAGAATGTAGTACTGCAGGCTAATTTTGCTGACTGCTGGCTGCCAGCAGTTTGGCAGTTTGATTCCCAGTGGCTCAAGGTTAACTCAGTCTTCCATCCTTCCAAGGTCCATAAAATGAGGACTCAGATTGTTGGAGACAATATGCGGACTCTGTAAACTGCTTAGAGAGGGCCGTAAAGCACTGTGAAGCGATATATAAGTGTAAGTGCTATTGCTAAGTGTCCAAACTTTGATCATATGACCATGCAGATGCTGCAATGGTCATAAGTCTGAAAAGCGGTTATAATTTATTTTTTTTCAGTGCCGTAAACCTGTAAACCCAGTTTCTACCAACAAAACAAAAAAGAAAGCAACAACAGATTAGCAAAGAGCACAATAAATCAGTTTTACACTCAATTATTTTTACTTAGTTCACATGTGCCATACAATGACACAGATAGAAAAATCTGGTTTTGAAATCAAAAGCCTGGAAACTTAGAGTTTTGCGCTTTGGGGAGAGGCTTTCGGAATGGGATAACTCAGGGTGGCCAGGTTGGTGTGGATGGATGGGCCACATGATAAAATGATACAGGGAATACGGTTCTCTAAATTTCTATTTCCATATAGCAATAGCACTTAGACTTATATACCGCTTCACAGTGCTTTTACAGCCCTCTCTAAGCAGTTTACAGAGTCAGCATATTGCCCCCAACAATCTGGGTCCTCATTTTAGTGATCTCGAAGGATGGAAGGCTGAGTCAACCTTGAGCCTGGTGAGATTCGATCTGCCAAACTGCTGGCAGCCGGTGATCAGCAGAAGTAGCCTGCAGTACTGCACTTTAACCACAGTGCCACTGCGGCTCATATGCCTAATACTTCACATAGGATGAAGACAAGTTAAGTTAGCATTTTACTAATGATATCTGGGTAAAGATCTTGGTGTTTAAATAAAGCGTCTTCTTGAACAAAACAAGTTATCTACCCCAGCCTGTTGAGAAACATAAACTTTGTTAACCTCAAGCATGTAAGCCTACTCCATAAACCAAAACACCCGTTAAAACCAATTGAATGGAAAGACTATGCAAGTAGCATGGTCTGATTGTTTTGATACGAAACGCCCAAATTACTCAAATATGCAGATCTTTTAAATATAAACTGTTAAATCATACATGTTTAACTATAGGGCAGTGATGGCTAATCTTTTTGCCATCGCATGTCAGGAGCAGGGGTGGTGGTGTCATGCATGCATATGCCCACACCCATAATTCTTTGTGCCTTGCCCCCCATGCATGTGCGTGCGACCCCCCCCACTCTCCCTGTTCCTGGCACAGTAGGCCCATTTTTTGCTGTACCCAGCCTCCGGAGCCTATCTAGGAGTCCAGGGAGGGCAGAAACGGCCTTCACCACCCCCCGGAGGCCCTCCAGAGGCCGCAAATGAACCATTTCTGGCTTCTGGAGGGCCTCTGTGGGGGTGGGGAAGGCCGTTTTTGCCCTCCCCAGATTCCTAAAAAGGCTTTGGAGGCTGGAGAGAGAGAAAAATGGGCCTTCCCCATCACCTCCCAAGGTCCTCTGGAGGCAGGTAACAGCCTGTTTCCCTACTTCTGGTGGGCCCAGAAGGCCCGAAAATCAGCTGGTCGGCGTGCCGGAGTTGAGCTCGCATGCCCACTGATATGGCTATGTGTGCCATCTGTGGCACACGTGTCATAGGTTCCCCATCACAGCTAACCTACTAATGCATATTTATATAGAATCACATAGAAACTTATATTCTTTGTCTATGGTGCCTTTTCACTGTTATACTCTCTCCAGCCTGTTGGTTTTTTTTTTTCTTTAGTAGAAGCCAACTACAGAGACATAAGCCTTGGGTATGTGTGGTTTTTCTTGGAAAAATACAGGAGCAGCTCAGCATTGCTTTCTATTGTCCACTATTGTCTTCCTGGCTGTATGAAATGCTGTTGCCATTGTCACTAAAGTGATATTTTGCCTCCAGCATCTTCATATGAAGTTGTGACCTAATATAGGTGCCTGCTGGCTTTAGCTAGAAATTGGCATGATCTTCACACCTTGGATAACTGGGGATACACATTCTGATGTTCTTTGTTCTATGGGCAGTTTAAAAGAAGTTAAGGGACTTCCTTTGATTAGAAAACAAATTATGTCTTGTATGCTTAGGTAACACTTATACTTAGGTTGGGCGTTTTTGAAGGACACATTGTCAATCTCCTTTTACAGATTTCTCATAGTGATCATACACAGCCATTAGAGATGAAACTAACTGGAGATCCTGTATTCTGTGCTGAACACCTGACAGCCAGAGAATAAAGGAGAATGTGTCTCATTTGGTAGCATGAGTTATTCAACTATGCCTATCTGTAGTGTGCAGCCATCTCATTAGAGTCTGACATAGTAAAGAACCAGAAGGAATCCAAACTCTCTATAGCCAGCCTGATATCCAGCTCATTTAATTGGGTTCTGCTTTAAAGGACTATAAAGAACACACATATATATATATTTTCCACATTTCTCAGCCAAGTGTTAGCTGTGCTAAACTCTGTATTGTTTGGAATACTCGGATTCTTCCAATTTTTCGATGTTTCACAAAGCTGGTTGTCAAAAGTCTCATTATTTTTTATTTTGGGAGAGCAATAGATTTTTCATGCAAGTGCCTAGGAGCAAAAGTTGCTCAGGGGATACACGTGTGACAAGGAAACCGAGAAAAATGGCTGCAACAATTGGGCAAATGGATGTTTTCGTTTGTTTGAGACTGAGTAGCATTTTACCAGAGATTTGCGAAACTTGTAAAACTTGGTGAGATAATTTTTGCATCTGGTGTGACAGACACAAGTCACCTATTCTATAAAAATATAGAACATAGAATAATAGGGTTGGAAAGGACTTTGGAGGTCTTCTAGTCCAACCCCCTGCTCAGGCAGGAAATCCTATATCATTTCAGACAAATGGTTGTCCAATCTCTTCTTAAAAACATCCAGTGTTGGAGCATCCACAGTTTCTGGAGACAAGTCGTTCCATTGATTAATTGTTCTGTCAGGAAATTTCTCCTTAGTTCTAGGTTGGCTCTCCCTTCCTCTGGGATTATTATTATTTTTTGAATTTCAAAGTATTCCAGTCTTCCACTGAAGTACTAACCCATGCTTTTTTCTTACTTTTTTTATATATATCAACCATACTCTTCCAACTTGATAAATTTAAACACCAAGAAACACAAGCCATGGAAGAAAGTAATCAAATAATTTGGTTGCTTAAGGTCGGCTGAAAGTATCTTCCTCCCAGGTATTAATTAAAGGTAAAGATTCCTCTTGGACATATGTGCTAGTCGTTCCCAACTCTAGGGGGCAGTGCTCATCTCTGTTTCAAAGTCAAAGAGCCAGCGCTGTCCAAAGACATTTTGGTGGTCATGTGGCCGGCATGACTAAACACCAAAGGCACATGGAATGCTGTTACCTCCCCACCAAAGGTGGTCCCTATTTTTCTACTTGCATTTTTTATGTGCTTTCGAACTGCTAGGTTGGCAGAAGCTGGGACAAGTAATGGGAGCTCACTCCGTTACGCGGCACTAGGGACTCGAACAGCTGAACTGCTGACCTTTCGATTGACAAACTTAGCGTCTTAGCCACTGAGCCATCGCGTCCCTGATAGATATTAATTAGGTCTACTTTAAACCTTTTATTTCTGTTCAAGTGCGAGAAGTCTGTTCATAGTGGCTTTTTGCCAGAGATCCACGCATTGATGCCTCATCTGTTTCTCTGCATTATTGCTAAATTCGAAGGACTGAGCTGAGAAAATTCAGCTGCTTCCACTGCTTTTTTGCCCATTCTGTTTCTCAGTCTAGGTAAAGAAATACATCTGAAATGATGACCCAAAGGGCACAGCTTGTCTAGTTAAAAACAACATCAAAAACAAACAAACAAAAATCCCAACATGTAAGAAGAACCCAACGTATTTCTCAGAAGGAAACATTCAACTAATATGTATGTTCCTAACGAACGTTTGGCCTCAAGAACATTGGAAAAATGAAGGAT